AGGCCCCCCCCGGGGGACAGCCGCGCTGCAGTCCCCTCCCTGTTCTCCTCCTGGGCTTTCAGGCACACACGTGGGCCTGGTGTGATTTCCAAGCCACCAGGTCCAGGACTCGAACCACACAGCCAGCCATGTGGGATCCAGTTGCCCAAATCGCTCCCCTTCTTCTCAGGACACGTGTCATCGAATGTAGGGCTTGGGACCCTGTCCCCAGCCTGGGGCGGCCACGTCCCAGCCCTTGCCGGTCGCAGCAGCAGACTCTCCTAAGGGGGCCACGTCTAGGGTCGGGGGTGAGTTCAGGTTAACCCAGACGTCTGCGGAAGTGGTCCAGAGCACAGCAGGGGAACAGTCACCTGCTTCTTGTCAACACCATGAGATCGAGGCTCAGCCCCAGCCCCTGGCCTGAGCCGGGACCTGCCCGGGCCCCTCAGCAAGGCCCCTGAGTCGGCCCCAGGGCCCGGTGCTGCCCTCATCCCTCAGCGCCGAGGGCGCAAACCCAAGCCTGTCTGCCCTCCGCCCCCACAGGACGCAGCCCACGTGGGGGCTCCTGGGGCCAAGGGCAGGCCGTGCTCGCTTGCGTGCAGATGACCACGTGGGCCTGTGGTTCTGCGTGCTTCCTGGGCGGCCGTCCAGCACACACGCTTCTCCCCACAGCGGAGCTCAAGGCCACTCTGGACCAGTACGTGAGCAGCAGGTACCCCGGGCTAGTGAAGGTCGTGCGCAACAGCAGGAGGGAAGGCTTGATCCGGGCGCGGCTGCAGGGCTGGAAGGTGGCCACGGCCCCTGTCGTCGGCTTCTTTGATGCCCACGTGGAGTTCAACACGGGCTGGTAAGGGCCAGGGCAGGCGGCTTCCCCGTGTGTCGGCCTCACCTCTCCAGGAGCCCGGCCGGCAGCCAGGGCCAGTCTTCCCCAGACCCTAAGCCCACAGAGGAGTCTTGAGGGGTCCACGAGGCCGAGATGGCAGGCTGTGTCCGGGTCAGGACTCAGCAACGCAGAGCACCCCGGGCCTTCTGCCTTGTTCCCCGTAGAGTCTGCCCTCCCCAGGACACGGACGCAGACAGATGGGCCCATGACTTGTCCCTGGGGAGCTCTCAAATGCTGCAGAGAGGCCACAGGCCAAGCAGCACGTGGGCCCCAAGGTCTGCCGTCTGCTTGGACCCCCACACCCCATCCCTATCTCCCACACCGGCGGCCTGCCCAGCCCCCCAGGCACGGTGGGCTCACGCCATGGCGTCCGCCCTCTGTCGAATGGCCACCCCCCCTTCGTCCTGGCCAGCACCAGTCACTATGCCCAGGTCCTGACCACCCGGTGCCCGCCCGGTCTGCCCCAGTCGGGCCACGCACGTGGGCACCGGCTCCTTCCCAGCCGCGGCAGTAAGCTCCCGGGCCGGGCTGCTCTCCCCTGGTCATGAACCACCCAGGGCGGGGCGGGGGGGGGCACATAACAGACGCTGCCTCTGTGAGCGGCGTCTCCCTGCGGGACAGGAAGGGAGGAGGAAGCAGGCCTGAGCTGTGCTCGGGGCTCAGCACACCCAGGCCTGGGAGGGACCAGCAGAGGGGTCCTGCATCCGCCAGTCCGTGGCTGTGGCCGCCCCAGGAAGCGGGGTGAGCGAGACGGGCTGGGCAGCGGGCAGCCACCCGCCCCTGCCTGGGAGGCCGACCACGCCTGCACCTCTGCAGGGCCGAGCCTGCGCTCGCGCGGATCCGGGAGGACCGGCGGCGCATCGTCCTGCCGGCCATCGACAACATCAAGTACGACACGTTCGAGGTGCAGCAATACGCCAGCGCTGCACATGGCTACAACTGGGGGCTCTGGTGCATGTACATCGTCCCGCCCCAGGACTGGCTGGACCGCGGTGACGAGGCGGCGCCCATCAGGTGAGCCGCGGCCTCCGGGCGGGCAAGGCAGAGGGCTAGGATGGGGCGTGGGGCCACGGTTCGCCCCGCGGGGCTCCGTGCAGGGCGTCTCTGTGCTGATGGGTGACGCTGCCCTTCCTCTGGGGCCTTCTGGCCCCCTGCCCATGGTGGCCACAGCGGCCTCGTTTCCGGAGCCCAGATTGGAGCTCACCCTGGATCTGGCTACTATGGTGTAAAGAACCCTGTGCTCCAAGCCCCAAGGGACCTGTTAACTTTAGCTTGGGATTTTCGGTTTTCCTCTACAGAAGGCCCAGCCCTGGAGGGTCCCTGCTCGGTCTCACGGTGGAGCATGGTGACGGGGACCTGGGCAGGGCTGGCTCTGGACAGTGACTGGAGTGATGCCCCCAGCTGCAGGAGGGGAAGAGGGAGAGACAGAGATGGAGAGACAGAGGAAGACAGAGACAGAGATAGAGGGGGAGAGAAGAGATAGTCGATGGAGACAGAGATGGGGAGAGGAGAGACAGAGGGAGAGACAGGGAGGCAGAGGGAGTTCACAGCAGCACCTCATGGCCAGTGGACAGCCCGGCAGTGGACAGATGTGTGTGTGACAGACCCACGGCCATCCAGCCAGAGTGCCAGCTGCCCTGAAAACTTTATTTGTGCTAGGAACTCAGACGTGAAAAGGGATGTTAGCTTTAAAGCCCGTGAACCCAGTGTCTGGAAAGCCAGGAGGTGGGCAGCTCTAGGCCCTGCCCTCCCCGGGTGGCTGGGCAGCTCCCAGCTCGTGGGGAACAGGACGCTGCTGGTTCCCCCAGCCCCCCGCGGCCTCCCTGGCACGGGACTGCCCCACCACAGCTTAGTGTTCCCACCCTGGCTGGCGATGCCATCGCAGACTGGCCCGCCTTTGCAGCCTCTTCTTCACACCCCAGGGTCATGGGCCCCCGAGGACACAGCCCTTGGGGTCCCCTGGCCCATCCTGTGCGTGTTTCCTAGGAGAATTTGCAGCTCCAGACTCTGGTGACCCTGGGGACTTGGGCAGGTCTCCCACATTTCAGGGGCTCGGGCTAGGCGCCCCTCCCGGCTCATCTGCACACGCCGTCCTGTGGGATGGGCCGCTTTGCTGCGAGTGCCAGAGACCATCCATGGTGGCCCGAGTGAGGCCTTGGGGCTCCGGGGCAGCAGCTCTGCTCTGTGAGGTGGGAGCAGCGTGCAGGAGCTGCTGCCCCGGAGCCCACGGCACCGCGGGCCCACTCACATGCCTGCCCTCTGTCCAGCCAGGAGTGAACGGTGGCCCAGAGCCATGTTTGGAAGGGAGGCTGGGCACGGGACAGGCAGCTCAGCCCTGACGCCTCGGGCGCCGCTACCAGGAGGGGGACACCTCCCTCCAAGTGGAGCCTCTCGCACAGGGACGACCGGGCCACCTCCCCACACGCAGCCATTCCCTAGGGGTGGGCCAGGTGCCCTGGAGCTGGCAGGTGGCGGGCAGGTGCTCAGATCTGCCGCAACTCAGCACCAAGTGCACGCGGGTCCTGCTAGCTGGGCCCAGGAAGGTGGCTCGAAGGCGGTTTTCCTCGGTGCAAGCACGCCTGGTGACACGCTGTTAGCTGCAGGGCAGAGGCCTTGGCCTGACGCTTCAGAAGCTAGTTAAGCAGAGAGTCAACTGCGCTGTGCCCGCCCTAGGCTCCGCTGTGTTGTGTTGGGGTGCCTGACGGGACAGAACACCGAGTGTCCACCCCGGGCAGTGGCCGACAGGCTGTGGAGACAGGCCAGAGCAGAATGGGCTGGTCGGGGCAGCCAGGAGGCCGGGCGGGAGGACATGGAGCCGCTGGGCTCCTCAGGAAGCTGGGGTGCAGGGGCCAAGCTCGTGGGCTGTGTCAGACAGTGGAGGGGCCTTTGCCCAAAAGTTAGGGGTGGCCTTCTCAAGGGGGACGGCCCGGCTCCGCTGTGCCCCCACCACAGTCTGGCAACGCCCTCCCGCCGCATTCCCAGGCAGCGTCAGCGTCACCCTGGTCCCAGCTGGCTGCAGGGAGACCTCTCGGCCCTCGCTCGGAATCCCAGCCCCGCACGGAGGCAGATCTGAGCCGGGCACCAGGCCTGGCCCACACAGGCCTTACCTCCTGGCCACGCTTAACTGGGTCACCGAGCACTGTCCCCACGGGAAGGTCATGGCCTCACACCTGAAGCCATTAGCACTTGAAGACTCACTGGAGGAGGGGTGCCTGCCAGTCCTTAGACCCGGAGTACAAGGGAAAAGAACAGAAAGAAACGACGAGGCCCGGCATCGAGGAACAGCTGGCTGCCTGGAGCAGGATGCCGGGCTGTCGTCCCCGCTGTGTCTGAGAGGAGGGGATGGTGGCACTGCCCTCGGGAGGCCCTGGGCGTGAGTCCAGACTGCACCAGCAAGGCCCGTGTGCCCACGTCCCCGAGGAGTGGCCCGGGGTAGATGGGGCCTCCGGGTCACTGCTGTGGAGCACGCTGGGCCCCGGCGAGGCCGCGACCCAGTGCACAGGGGCACAACTTCATTCCAGCCCGGTCACCCCATGGCCTCTGGCATAGCAGTAGGGGAGCCACAGCGACGGAGCCGAGCTGGGCAGGCTGGCTGGACCGTCACGGAGAGCACGCAGCCTGGTGGCAGGGCCGGGAGCTCAGGCACGACCCTGCACGGCCGCTACTCAGCACTCCAAGTAGCTAGAGAGCCCAGGACGGGCTGCCGGGGCAGAGGTGTGGGGCTTCCTTAACCAGCAGGCGATGGGGAGAGAGCGCACCTCGGCGGGGCCCTCAGGACGTCACCCACCGCCCCAGCTCAACCAGCCCGGGTTGTGGGCACTCAGCCACAGGGGACACGTGGGTGTGAGTTGGGGCCTTCCCGTGGGGTCCAGCCCCGAGGGTGGTGCGTTTCTGCCCTGCCACTCTGGCCCTCTTCCTCCTCACTGGGGTATTCCTACTCTGAATAATACAATGTTTAACATTTCAGCCTGGGTACGTGTGCTCGTTGGAGAGAAATTGAGAAAGGGAAAGTGAGGAAGCATCCCGTGGGACGTGGCCGTGTGGCAGCCCCGTCCACGTCCTCCTTAGGGATTTCGGGCACACACAAGGGCCCACAGTTCTCAGGCTGCTGAGGCTAGGACTTGAACTACACAGCTGGCCACATGCAGTCCAGCCGCCTTACCCCCCACGCCACGGGCTGGCTCCTATTTCTGGTTTTAAAGTTAAAACGGCGACCTCAGCAGGGGTCGGTCCCTGAAGACAAGTGGAAGGACGGTCAGTGCTGGGAGAAGCAGCTCTGCTAGGCAGGGCCCCGGCCGGGCCGAGCGCTGAATGCCTCAGCCCCTGCCGCCCTCCGTGAGCACCGCTGGGAACTCCCACCCGGCAGCTCAGTCCGGGCACCGCCTCGTGAGCGCATTTAAGTTTTGCAACTCTGTGCAGCGACGGAAGGTGGTCACCGGGTGTGGTGGGCCTGCAGGCCACCGGGACTGTCCAGAACGCGAGTGGAGCCTGTGGTGTGCCCTCCGTAACGCAGCCGTCAGGGGCTGCCCACCAGCCGGCAAGGGGGGCATGGACGGGGGGTG